GAGGGGAGGGGGGTTAATCCTCCGTGGGGGACGACGTGTGTGCAGCCGGGGAAGGGCCGGGCAGCCGCCGCTGCTGCATCCTCCTCCTCAGGCGCGGGCGGCCGGCGGCAGCTGCAAGAGAGAGAGGCGTTTGCAGCGGCAGCCCGGGGTGAGGGCACGAGGCACGCACACGCACGGGGACACGCTGGGAGACCCGGGCAGGCACGCAGACACACGGACACGCACACGGGGAGGCACAGGGATGCACAGATACATACGGGGAGACACAGATACACGCAGGGACACAAGAGACACACGGGGAGACACAGGGATGCACAGATACACACAGGGATACACAGATAGACACGGACACACGGGAAGACACACACAGGGAGACGCACAGATACAATACGGATACCCATACACACACAGGGAGACACACAGATATACAGATACACGCGGGGAGGCACAAGTGCACACAGACAGCTACACAGGGAGACAGAGACACAGGGGAGATACTGATGCACAGGGACACACGGATACACATGCTCACAAGCACAATACACACACAGAAGACACACGCAGATACAGGTATACAGACACAAGCACACACAGATAGACGCACAACAGACAGAGCTACACACCGATCGAGAGACACACAATAGACACCCGGACGCAGACAGACAGCTACACAGACACCCCGATAGGTACACACACACACACGGAGCAGTCATGCCAGCTCGTTTGCATAACAAGCCACTAAAGCCGCGATCCTGCTGCCGCTCGCCCCGGCCCCCCCGCAGAGGCGCTAATCGCCGGCAGTAGCCGGGGAGGGAAGGGGCCAAGCCTCGCGCTCCAGATGCTGCCGGCTGGGGGCGGGGGTGGGGGAAAGGGCTGTGGCAGCTCTAACCAGAGGGCATGGGAACCTTATGAAAGGTGTGAACAAGTGTTGTCAGGGCGTACAAATATTGCAAAGCAGAAAGCAGCACTGGGATGAAGGGAGAGGGGGTGGGAAAATGAACAGGAAATTAA